GTCCTCTTTCTGTCCTCCCTCCGCCCCACCTCTCAAGCCTGTCGGAGAAATGACGCTTGTGACTGAGTTCAACAAGTATCTCTCCTGCTCCACGGTGCTCCATACAGTGGGGTACCAAGGCAGGAGCCGGCAGGCTGGGGAGCCTGCACGCAGAAAAGAATCTGGCACCCGAGAGGTGCTAGGGAGAACGCGGGGTGCAGGTGATGGAGGTATCTACTGAGATTAGGAGAAAGGCAGAAAAACACCACTGTGTTCATTTTCATTTGGGGAAACAATCAGTTTACCTTGTTTAATGGCAGATGTCCTAAGGGGAAAATAGAGCTCTTAAACCCTGACACCAGGCAGGAGTCATGAATTGTGGGCATGGTTCTATTCCCACAGAGAAGATGCAGGTAGTGAGAAAGCAGGAACAAACATCGCAGTGAACGTTAGATTTAATTAAAGCTAGGGACCGGCAGGTGGCAAGGTGGTTAAGGACGCTGGCCCATATGGCAGACCATGGTTTGCGTCCCAGACTCGGTGGCTTGCTTTCTCACTCCCCCACCACACTATCTCTTTCTGGTCAAATTAAAATGAGTAAATAAAGTTAAATAAAAGATTTATTTTAAAAATTTAATTAAAGCTAAAAGACCATTTTGGAGAATGAGCTCCTTACAAAAAAAAAAAAAAAAAAAAAAAGAAACGTGGTTGCTTTTGTAACAGTGAGAGCCATTCTGGGGTGGCCTGTGGTGTGGAGGTCAAGGTGGCTAGATCCCACATGGCTGACCGGGCAGTTTGAGTCCCAGACACAGTAGCTTGGAAAACACGCCAGGTGCACGTGCCCCAAATCCCGAGAGAATGGAGGAGACGGGATCCAGTGTGGTCATCCCCCTTGAGAGGCACTTCCTCTCTGTCTCTGTGGTGAGCACAGATATCCTAAAGCAAAAGAAAGAAACTGAAAGCCATCCCAGCCCAGAGACAGACATTATTTACATTTTGTTGAACATTGTCACTTCACACATACAAGAGGATTTCAAAAAGTTCATGGAAAAATGGAATTAAAGTACATGTTTATTTCAGTGCCAAAAATTAGAAATCCATGCATATTTTTTCATGAGATGCATTTTCCATGAGCTTTTCGAAGGCCTGTTGCATTACATGCACACAGATAATTACAGATGGACACCGTTTTACATAAGTGGATTATATGGTACACATTATATATGCTATTCTGTAATCATTTACCCTCAACCTTATCTTGGCTCAGAGAAATATTTCCAAGGGTGTGTTATTTTGTCTGAAGACCGTGGATAACTATTTTGACCTCTCCTAGTTCTGAAGACTCCACCAGAAACAGGCGTGCCCGCACTTCCAGGCTTCTGAAAGCCCATAACGCTGAGTGGGGTGTCAGGAACACAGGCTGGTGATGGGAGTGAAGACTTCCTACGGAGTTATGGGAGTATAAAATGTAACAGTTAATACAACTTGTAGCAAATAGAACATACATTGTAAAGAAGCAGTTTCCTTTTTCCCCCTTCCTTCCTATTTGCCAGAAAAGACATGAGCTGTCTGGGGGCAGACAGAGAGAGAGGGAGAGGAAAGAGAAATCACCCATAATGGGATAGAGAGAGAGAAAGAGAGAGAGAGGAGGGAGCGAGAAGGAAAGATAAATCACCCCTATGGGGAACGGCCACATCACAATCCTTCTCCTCCATTTCTGTGTGGAGATTTTTTATTGGAGAGGTTTTTGCTATAGGGCGCCTGCACTTGCCAGAAAGACAGAGACAGAAAGAGAGAAATCACCCCCCAGGGGGGATGGCCATGCCGCAATCCCTTCTTCTCCATTCTCCTCTCGGGATCTTGGGCAAGCACGCACACGTGCCCAGTGTGGGTTTAAGCCACAGGGTCCGGGATCCGAACCATGGTTGGCCACGTGGGAGTTCAGCATCATAGCCATTATGCTAACTGCTGGTCCCATCTCCCATGGAGATTTCAGGTACACATTTGTGCACACACGCCTGGTGCATTTTCAAGCCGCAGGTTCCAGACTCATTGGGTGCAGTTGACCATGTGGGATCCAGCTGCCTTGATGCTGGCCCGAGGGTTCCTTTTTTAAAAAGGAATAATTTAATTAATTTATTTTCATTTGACAAGAGAGGAAAAGAGGGAGAACGCGGGACAGAGAGGAAATGGGACAGGAAGTGGCCAGGTCTAGGACTCAGACTGCAGTCAGCCATGTGGGAGTCCAGCGCTTCCAACCACCATGCCACCTGCAGACCCTGTGATTTCCTCTTTTAAACAATAAACACTCCTGCAAGGGCTCACCTTAGCCCTAACATCTAGCATACACTTTCACGTTGGATTCACCTATTCCACAACTTTGACTGAACTGCTGCTGAATAGCAGGGTAATGAAGGCAGCTAAGGGTGACCACCTCCACTGGACTTACGGCGGCTACAGAGGGGTCACGGGCACTGCCGTCACAAGCAGTGAGAGCTGGGGGGCACAGCCTTGCAGAGGTGTGTGGGGAGGACACGCCACCACCCTCACAAGGAGAGCGGAGGTCAGGGATGGGAGTGAAGTCATGAAGTCTAAAGTGGGAACTGAAGAAAAAGAATGAAGTGAAAGGAAGGTGGGGGGAGAAGAAGAAGGTACAAAGAAAGAGCAGGAACTGGCCAGGAGAGGGGCAGGAAGGGGATGACCGGATGGGCATTGGCTCCCATGTGTCATTGCAGAGACTTGGGCTCGGATGACAGCAAAGCAGTTGGGGAGAGACAGCACTTAGGGGGAAGTGCTTATAAATTTTGTGTTCATGGGACCAGCAGATGGCATAATGATTATGTTGCTGGACTCCCACATAATCGACCATGGTTCAAGTACCGGACCCAGCAGCTTAAAACTCACGCTGGGTGCATGTGTGTGTGCCCAAAGTCCTGAAAGGAGTATGGTGGAGAGGGATTATGTTGTGGTCATCCCTCATGGGGATGATTCTCCCCTTCTGTCTCTCTTTCTCTCTGTCTCTCCAGTGAGTGCACGCGCCCTATAGCAAAAATCTCTCCAAATTTTTTTTTGTGTTCGTATTTTTACTATTAAATTTACTCTTTAAAGAGTTACAATCATAGATGATTTTGGTTTTTTGTTCTTTATATTTTGACAGGAAAAATGTTTTCAAAAAAGTTTCATTCACTTGGGACCAGCAGTTAGTGTAATGGCTATGTCACTGGACTCCTATGTAGCTGACCATGGTTCAAGTCCTGGACCTGGAGGTTAAACTCACGCCGAGTACGTGTGCATGCGTGCCCAAAATTCGGAGAGAAGAATGGAGGAGAAGGGATTGTGGTGTGGCCACCACCCCTGGGGGGTGATTTCTCACTTTCTGTCTCTCTGTCTTTCTGGCGAGTGCATGTGCCCTATAGCAAAAACCTCTCAAAAAATGTTTTTTTCAATCACCTAAAAGTTGTTCATATTTAGTCCATGGTGCAGCTTTAGGTTAAAGATTTATATTGCGGGGCTGACCCCATTGTTTAGTGGTTAAGGAGCCACATGGCTGAGCACAGTGTAAGTCCTGGCCCCAGCAGCTTGAAAACACATGCCAGGTGTGTGTGCACGTGTGCCCAGAATCTCGCCTGGAGGAAGACATAGAGAAGGGATTACAGTGGGACCACCCCTACGGGAGAGTGCTTTCTCCCTCGATCTGTCTCTGGCAATTA